CCCGCACCCGCAGCCGGAGCCCCAGTTCGGACCCGGCCAGGGCGTGCTGCCCCGGCGCTGCCGCAGGGCGTGAGGTGGCCTGGCTGCAGCTCGAACCGAGGAGCTCTGCTTCGGGGGGCTACGGCGTTCACTAGCGCTGCAGGCGTTTACTATCCATACCCAAAGTTGCAGTGACGTATCGCCCACAGAAGAAGGTGTGGCTATTTTTTTCTGATTGATCGTGAATTCGGTTTATTAGGGAATGAGCAACAGTTTTTCTCCATTCTAATGCTTTACATCTATAAGAGGGTACAGAACAAAAATTTCTGCCTAGCAAAATCCATCTAAAGTTGCGAGATAAAGCAAATTGTATGTGTTGTCTAACGTATTCAAATAAGTCAAATTTTGGGATTATAAAGGCTTTAGGTCACATAGCTGCAACAAAAAAGAAAAGATAAACTCAGTATCTGACAAATCAGTATTTGGTTGACACTGGAAACTTAAAAAGAGCACAAATTAATGCAATATATAGGCTACTGGCAACTCATTCAAATTCTCTTACTGGGGTTGCTAGATCATTGCAACGTACCTGACATGGACTGAGAGAGACCAGGCCTCAACCTAGGGAAACTAGTACCTTTTTTTTTTTTTTAAAAAAAAAAATTTAGAGCCAACAGTATAGAGAAGTCATCTCTCTCATCCATTTTATAAATACGAATTAATTGTCAGAGACTGCCATTAAAGTTTCCTAGAAAGCAGTGAGAGCTCTCTGATGAGGATGATAAAACAGCAGCAGGAGCTGAAAGCATGCTGCTTTATGAACCAGACTCCTTCCTCAGCCATTTTCTGTAGTTTTTCAACAAGTTGAATTAAAATGCTGCAAACAGCTGTCACAGGTGGATGCAGTTAGGTTAAATGTTTGAGAAACACTGACCCTTGCAAGTCATACAGCTTCAGCGGAACCGGGACAGACAAAGCGGTACTTCTACCTGCGAAAATAACTGATGTGTATTGGTCAGTATGCTTCCTCAGCCTTAACACACAGCTGATAAAAACGTGGAAAGGTGAGACCCTAAATGTTTGACTATACAGGAATCTGCTTCTGCCATGTAAAACAAGTCAATAGAACAAGATGAATTTAAAAAAATTTAAATCTATGGGGGCCCAGGCAGAAGCACGTGGCATTTCTGTGTTGCTGGAATTGCATTATCAGCCAGTTCTCTTATTTCCCCAGTTCTGATTAATGTGCAACAACACTATACAATGTACCGTAATAAACCCAAAAAGCACCTAATTAATCTAAACAAATATGTGCGTCGAGAGAGGATTTTGTCCTTTCTGGTTTGATTCTCAGCTTCACAAAATCTCAAGTCTTTAACGTCCTGAGGAATTACTCTTTCAGCAGAAGTGAAATGAATTATGCGTCAATGAACAATTGGGTTATCAAGGTTGTTCACTTAATGTTCCAGCTGTTCTATAGCACCATCTTAACGTTTATTGGAGATTTCTTTTTAATTTAGTCTTATTTCATGGTACTTACAAATAAATGCATTGCATTTCTTACAGCTGCTGTGCCAGTTAATAGCAAATACAAGTACATAATGAATTTCTTGCCTTTTTCTGCTAGAACTAGAAATGACAGAGGGTGGAGGCTTCATTCAAAGGAAATCCATTAATGTAATAATAGTGAAGCCAGAGATTAAAGCTGATAGGATTTGTGGAGAGTTTTGTACAGCACTTAACTACATTAACACCATTTTTTGCTCCTTGCCCTCATAAGTGCTAAAACTTAGATATACTCAGAGTTCACAGGAAACCACACAAACACAGCACTGGCCACTGCTTCTTTGCCCTTTTCCAGCTGTCCTGCAGGCAGATGGACATCAGCTTGTTCTGGAAGAGATACCAGACTGGAACGCTGTAGAGCTGTAGAGCTCCCCTGGTCAACGGGGAGACTGTATTTTGCTGCAACATCAATGACCTGGATTTTGGTAAGCACAGAGTTTTATTCATCGCAGTCTTTCGCTGAAAGCACTTACATTTTCAAATGAACACTTCCTAAGGCATAAACAGTCCAGTTTCTGTCAGCATTAACACTTTTAAGCTCTGCACTCCTTTATATTTGAGGCAGTTTGGAGGGCACAGTCAGGAAGAGAGGATGGTTTGGGAGTTAAGGCCATGCTTGGGAGAGCACTGTTCAGGGCCTTCCCGCATGCACCAGCACACAACCACAAGAAAACCTGCTAGGTTTCAGTCCATAGAGGTATTAGGACATCCTTTTGCTTTCAAAATAGAAAATATTTTTCTTTGCTTGGGCCTTAGTTTCTTTGAGTTTTTTGTCTTCCCCTCCTCCCCCTCAGCAAAACATAGATAATACCATTTCAGTGCCTCGCAGAGAGTAATTTTTTTATCATTTTTTGCTGCAGGGGAGACAAGGAGTTCAGGGCTCAAGTTTTCTCAGCTCCTGTGCAAGTGGCTTGCAGAGAAAGGCTGAAAGCTGCTGCTTCTCACCTCCCCACTTTTCAACAGCTTCTCTAGGGCTGAGGACAGGAGTTGTGAAGCAAAAGCAGAAAACTGACCAAGGATAATGGCATTTCCAGCATGACAGCTTGGTTGGTTTCACCTTCCTGTAAGGAAGGCAGACAGGCCAGGAACTGGGAGGTTCCAACTGGAAATTTCTTCCAACAAAATAAATCTTTTTTTTTTTTTGACCTACGCTAGACAGTGAAGTACTGGCTAATAGGCCATGCTACTGTCTGCGGAACCACCTGCACTGCTGCATTCACTTTTTGCTCTCTTTCAACTCCAGATCAAAGCTGAATCAATCTTGGATTATACAGCTAACCAGGGTAGAGCCAAACTGAGTCCAAGTACTGTGAGGGAGAATGCAAAGGAATATAGATACTAGGATAAGAAGTAGAAATATAAAACAAGAATAAATTTACTTGCATATACTTTGTAACTTGGGAGGTGATGGCAAGTCGGATCCACTTTGTGAAGAAGCCAAAAAAGCAGTGTTAAATGCTTACTGATTTACAGGGACACATTCCCTTTTACCTTGGTTTTCTGTCAGACGATTTACTTGCATTACAAAGGTATTAGAAATGTCAGGATACAGTTGGTTCTTTACACTTCTAGGTCTCTTAATGAAGCTCTAGATAATCTTACTTGTTACACCCATGTGTCAACCAAATAAGAATATACTGCCTTTTCCAGAACCAGTCATATGTTACCACCCTGAATATTACAAATTTATGTAGAACTGCGACTTGCATGTAGTTCTAATAATTTGATTTTAATTAAAAGAAGAATGAAACTCCTGGATATCTTTCATTCTTTCAACATTTAGAAAGTTTCCTATGTCAAAGATAATAATTTCGAAGTTATTCATAGCTGATGATCAACTCGTACATATTCATATAGATGTGCCAGTTCCGCTCTTCTCTTGGCCATAAATGCCCCAGAGAACATTCGTGCATCATTAGACACAGCCCAAAGGTACAGAGACAAAGGAGTTGGCATAGCCATAAGGACAGAATTAAAGCTGACTGGGTGTTACCACAATGGATATTCCAGGTATCTCAGAAGTAATGCTGCCTTTTCCTTTCTATTTTTCCCCCCAAAAAACTACAGTATGGAGCTTCTTTTTTGCTTCTGATTTGTCAACATATGCTCTCAACCTCAACTTCATTTTTAAAACACTTCTGACTCAGGTAAATTCAGCAGTTCGCAAATAATCGTATGCCAGAATGCTGGTACCCTGAGCAATTTTCAGTTTGGCCCATAATTAGTTATGAAAGGAAGAAGTGGTTAGTCTTTGCATCCTAACGGAGTGGTGTGAACAAAGAAACACAGCATTTGTTGAGGCTCAGGAGTGCTAGGCAGCAAAGCTGCAGTTTCTAGTGCGGCTGCAGGAGAGATAGGCTGCCCAGCATAAAACCAAAGACAAAGAAATCCTATCACTTGGTATCTCCTATCAGCTGTAACCTGCAGGGAGATAGCTGTAGTTACAAATAACCAGACCACATTTATGGTGATACTGATCCAACACAAAAGTGTTAATCAAAATAACGCTATCGCTATGCCCAAATACAGCCCCCTTACCAATGAGCTGTAGATGACAGAGGCATTAAAACAATCTTTAGTGAGGAAAAAATACTCGTAGTTGAAGTCGAGTGAAGCAGAAACGACATTGTCTCTTTAGAAGACTGAAACATTTTTGCTTTCTACAACTCTGATATAACAAGATTAGAAAGTGAAAACATTCAGACAGAACCATATTGAGAAGATCAATACAATTAAGCTTGGCACAGATAACGAAGGCACTTTCTGCAGCAGACATTCACACAGACAGCAGACTGGGGTTTCAGCATCCGCCCCGCTCTAGTTCTGCCCTGGACAGCAGGGAGTTGGTTCACGCTTCGCTGGGGCCCTGGGCTGTAAGTAGTGAGCAGGCTCTCCTGCACCACAACCAGCTCCAGCCTCCAGCTCCAGGGCAGCCCTCGGCACCGAGAGGGGCTTTGAAAAAGCCCACCCTGCTTCATTTGTCAGTGGGACACCAACAAATGGCTTTCTGCTCTGGCAGTAAATTGTTTATTGGCCTCTTAGGTAAATGCAAATTAATTAGACTAAGTTAGTTTAAATAATGTTAGTTCTGGGCAGAATTTACTCCCAAAAATAGAAGACTAAACTCCCCAGACCTCTTGAGCATGGAATGCCGTGAACATCCATGGAAATGCTCAAGGCAGATGAACTCACCAATGTTACTAGTTTATTTTTTAAAAAAAGTTTTAGTTTTGCTGTGTTCAGTGCCCTCTGCAACATCACTCTGAGGACCTTTCTGACACACCTCCAAGTTAGAATGCCAGCAGTTTTGTAGGGAGATATTAAGCCTTAATAGATCAACATGTTTAGCTGGAATAAATACAAACAAGCTTTGAGGAACACAAGGCTGCAGGTCTGAAAGAGAAGCAGCAAACTTCAAGACAAGTATGGACTGAGAACAACCACTCTGACTTTGCTTTAGAATGATGTTACGACCGAATTGTGAAAGACCAGAGACAGATGAGAAAAGATTTTTAATATGACAGTGAGATATCTTCCAGCGAGATAAAAAAATTAACTTCGTCAGACATTTTGAACACAGCTGCCTAGAATGCATTAAGAGATCTCAGGCCCCATTATTGTGCTTTTGTTACAGGAGGGAAAAATAAATACAAATTTGATGTAGCCCTTTCAGTTTGGTACCCGTCCCCCAAACACTACCCGCGATTAGTTGCCATGGCACTAGCAGGCAGCTGGATATTTGAAGGCACTGTAGTAGCCACTTGGACAAAGGCATTTAATTTTTTTATATGTGAAATAACCACTTTTTTTCCTCAAAGTCTCCCTCATTTTTAAGGGGATTATCTTCCCCAGAGATAATCATGGCCATTTGAGAACTGAACCTCGCCTGCAAGTCCTCTCTACGGTGACTCTCATCGAGACTACTGTGATAAAGTCAAATCAGGAGGAAGAAAACAGCAGCAGCAAATTATTCCAGTAGTAACGCTAACTAAATTGCTGTGCAGCTTTTATGGTTTGACTAATTGTCTCATTAAGACACATTTCTGATCACTGAAATGGATTTCAAGTATTTTTAATCACTGAAAAAATTGTACCGCTAAGAGCCTCTCTCCCTCCTATCCTCGGCACTATTTGCAATGGAAAACACACAAAGGCTCCTGTTGATCAGCGCCCCACGGCTGCACAGTTGGCAGTCAAATGGTACTAATGGCACAATAACACAATATAACTAAAATAGTTTGCCTTTTAGAGTAACAATTTCTTATAACATGATTAAGCTCTATCATGCGCGTTTCCTTATGTTTTGCAAATGGCTCCAAAAATTCTGACAATTTTTCCAGTAATTTCTTCAAAAGGGGAGGGAAAATAAAAAAATCATTAGCTATCAAGAAACAAATTAACAACACTTGATACATTAAAAAAAGATGAAAACAACTGCACCAAGCACAGGCTGCACAGCAGCATGGTTGTGTGGCACCCAGTTCACTCCCCCTTGCAGAACGCACCTCCAAAGACCGAGTTTGTCACATTTAATTGCAGACACTTTATTGAAGCACTTCGTTTAGGAGCTGGCTTGCCCTAGGCTACCTCCGTAACTGATGGAGAGCGGCATCTCCACAGAGCAATTCAGATCTCTACCAAGTATAGACTGTAGGATCTCTCGGCTCCTAATTTAGGTACTTTTTTGGTATTTGGTTGCGAACAATATTAAAAGAGATGAAGCTTCTTCCTCCTATGAGGAGCACATTTCAAAAGGAGCAAGCTGGCTATCCAACACACTACTGACATGCTCTTCGCACTTCCAGCAAACAGGAAGATTTTGCTCTTGGCCATCACTCCCAGTGGTTGCACAAGCCATATATTGCAACAAGACATTTCCCCTTACAAGAGCTGTAGGTATGTATCCCATACATTATCATATTAAAGACAGCAGCCACTTAATTTTCAAGTAGCTTATTCTCAGAAGCCTAATGCAAAAGTGGCACAGCTATTGCTAGGAGAGATGCACACTTTTATGGTGGCCAGTCTGATCAAAAAAACCTGCAAAGGCCTAGGAGCTCTTTTGTGGAGATGGAAGCGATGCATGGGAAGGAAATCACTCCATACAAATACTCAAGAAGAGTTGAAAAGATCTGATTTATTCTCAGACATCTTTTGCTTGTTTTAAAGTGACTTTATGATGGTAATCATCAGCTTCCCATGGGTGGACTTCTGATCATGTACTTGGAAAAATAAAGCAACGCATCAGCACAGTTGTCAGAAAAGAGTTTAAACTTCATTAGAGGAACAAAGTTTAATTATTTTAATAGTTGAGGGTTTTTTAAATAAAAAATATCAATGATACTATACATAGTTAAATTTCCTTCCTGTTCATTTTGCATATTGGCCATCCAGTAACATGATATTAAACACGGCAGCACTAAGAACTTCCATGCATCATTTGTACATGTTAAGAGAAAGTCTGTGACAGATTCGCTTTGCAGTCTGTAGGAAACCACTTCTCCATCTCCGTCGTCTGAAATGGAGATAACAGCTTTGAGTCACAAAGATCTTGTGCTCCCTAAAACATTTTCCAATTCTCCAGTAAAAAGTGCTGTACAACTAGTTGTATGGCACTCCACAATTAGTGCAGGGAAATGCTTTATTCCAGTAAATTATTTTTTTAAATAATTTTCTTTTTCCAGCTTAAAAGAGAGGGAACAAAGTGATACTTCTGTTTTTAACAGTTGCTTTAAACTGTCCAGATTTCTTTTGGTTATTTTAAGGTATTTTTTTTTTAAATATTGAGAACACTCCCTATCAATGCCCACACGTGTTATGAGTGGAAAACAGCCCAAGAGAATACATGCAGGATTCTTCTGCTCCGTCAAGGCACATATTTACAAGACTCATAACTCAGAATGGGCTCATCCAAGTGAGAGACAAGATGCATTACTAATTTAAGATGAATTTGAAATGTGGCCATTTACTTGCTACAACTTTCAGTTTTGATCAATTTTGTAAGGCAGTTTTAAGAAAAGACAGGGTTGTTCTGCACCCGCACGTAGGCACTGTTCAGACACATAAATATTTGCTCACATACACATGTATATGTAAATGTACCAGGAAGGCATCCACCAAGGTCATATGAAGTATAGCCAGAAACAATACAAATTAGTGGTCTCTGTCGTAGGCTTTGGAATTAATTCTGAGGAACAGAATATGCTACAGAGCGCTCTGTTTACTTCCCTTTGGGCTTTGTCACAGAGACAGGTACCACAAAGTTACAAAGTTCTGCATAAATCTATTGAGCTCATGAGCTGCGCAATATTGTGCTCACTATGAAAAATACAATTTTACTGATAAGTCTAATGAGGGGCCTGAGGGCTGTGATAAAGGCCTAAGGAAAAAAAGGGGGAAAAAAAAGAAAAATAATCACACTTCATGTAGCATGTCCCTAATTTTTTAATGCACGTAAATATCAGAA